CAGCGCAGAGTAACGCGTCGTGTGTGTGTGTGTGTGTGTGTGTGTGTGAGGGGAACAGGGCCACATCACAGGAGAGTGAACTGCCTGTCAGAAATCATAGCACGTCAGCGGTCTTAACTGCGGCTTGTGTACTGCATCATCACTGTGTCTGTCATGCGACTCTGCTGCCCTTTCGGGCTTGCACTGATGGTAAAACTAACGACATTATTAACTGTCTGGATATTTACTTTGAAAGCTGACGCTCGCGATTATGATAAGGGGCGTTACATTTCCAACGCGTGCTTGTGGTGTTCGGCCAATCACAATGCACTGGGTCAGCTGGCCAATCAGAGCAGACTGCGCTTGTCAAAGGAGGGGGCTTTGTAGAAAACGACGTGTTTGAGAGAGGCGGGGCATAGAGGACCTGCAATAATGTACAGTATTTGAAAAATAATAATGTTTTAATGTTTTTTGAACAATAAAGCATGTCAACATATTCTGTTACACCAAATAATTATCTTTAAAATAGCATCATATGACCCCATTATGTAAAATCCACCACAGTGTGTATGCTAACTATATGTTGTTTTGTTATTATAAGACAGCTACATGTACCAAAATGCTTCTAATTAAAAACTCAATTAGAGTACCATGATGGGGCTCTAATTACATGGAATTTGAAATGTACATGCACTATTGTCTTAACATTGAAACTCAAGCAAACACTTGCACATCAGTGACAGCTGGAGCAAAACTGGTTTTATAACACAAAAATATGAGATTGTCTCATAACAACAATAATCAATAATCCCATGAGTACAACTACAACCTGAAAATAGTAAGATAACGGTGTTTCCGTTTAATATGAAAGGCTCCAGGCCTGCTGATACATGTGAGGGCTGTACCCTTCACCACAGCAAAAAGTCACCAAACTCGTAATGTGGCTTAAAGCTTTAATTTAGAAACAACTTTAATCGCTATGGTGTTACATCCCTATAGCTTTCTTCCCTAAAAGGTTCACTTCTTATTACTTTAAGCCTGACTACAACTGTACTACTCTTGCAATGATGTGGTTGACTTGCATATCACTAAAAATATATTTTTTTATTAAGAAAGTGTTTCTAAATGTTACAGATAATTAGTGTGTGACTGATATTTATCAACTTAATGTGTTATGTTTTTTCAATATTGAGTCCAACAATAAATAGCAGCAAATGATCTTAACAATATGCACAAATATAAAACGTAACTATTAGAATAGACCAAAACGAAGATGAAAATGTGACTAGCAACAAGTTTATGAATAAATATACACACACACATACATATATATATATATATATATATATATATACTCATTATGCATATTATTTTGAGATATAATAATGTGGTATAGTTAATGTGTCAAACAGCAAAAATAAGAATTGTGAGGGCTGTACCCTTCACCACAGCAAAAAGTCACCAAACTCGTAATGTGGCTTAAAGCTTTAATTTAGAAACAACTTTAATCGCTATGGTGTTACATCCCTATAGCTTTCTTCCCTAAAAGGTTCACTTCTTATTACTTTAAGCCTGACTACAACTGTACTACTCTTGCAATGATGTGGTTGAATTGCATATCACTAAAAATATATTTTTTTATTAAGAAAGTGTTTCTAAATGTTACAGATAATTAGTGTGTGACTGATATTTTTTATCAACTTAATGTGTTATGTTTTTTCAATATTGAGTCCAACAATAAATAGCAGCAAATGATCTTAACAATATGCACAAATATAAAACGTAACTATTAGAATAGACCAAAACGAAGATGAAAATGTGACTAGCAACAAGTTTATGAATAAATATACACACACACATACATATATATATATATATATATATATATATATATATACTCATTATGCTTATTATTTTTAGATATAATAATGTGGTATAGTTAATGTGTCAAACAGCAAAAATAAGAATTTTTCAGACACACTAATCTGCATCATATCTGTAATAGAAAAAGCAATATTGGTCCATCTCTAATGAATGTAGGAGCAAATCTCAGGTCATTCGGTGAAACATTAACGTCCATTTTGGGCCATTATGGCGATATATTGAAATCAAACAACTAATTATAATAGCCAGAACTCAAAGGACATCCAAAAACGACCACTCATTGTTAAAGACATGCAGTGGCCATTAACAATAACCAATAACATAATCACAAACTGGCATGACTGCAAGCACAAACCTGATAATATTTCTTGATAATACCTCATTAGACTCGGTTTATTCATCCCAATCCTTTGCAGATATCAGTCCTGACAACAATAAATGTGGCTATGCAAAAATGCTCCTGTCTTGTACACTGGTTGTGAATGGCATCTACCTGCATGAATGCTCAAAGTACAGACTTCTCTCATCTCTTACACACGCCACTCCCATTCCTCCTGCTTCAGACAACATGCAGTTTTTGAAGAGTTACGACTCAGACACAAATGTATATATATATATATATATATATATATATATATATATATATATATATATATATATATATATATATACTCATTATGCATATTATTTTGAGATATAATAATGTGGTATAGTTAATGTGTCAAACAGCAAAAATAAGAATTTTTCAGACACATCAACATATTTCATATCTGTAATAGAAAAAGCAATATTGGTCCATCTCTAATGAATGTAGGAGCAAATCTCAGGTCATTCGGTGAAACATTAACGTCCATTTTGGGCCATTATGGCGATATATTGAAATCAAACAACTAATTATAATAGCCAGAACTCAAAGGACATCCAAAAACGACCACTCATTGTTAAAGACATGCAGTGGCCATTAACAATAACCAATAACATAATCACAAACTGGCATGACTGCAAGCACAAACCTGATAATATTTCTTGATAATACCTCATTAGACTCGGTTTATTCATCCCAATCCTTTGCAGATATCAGTCCTGACAACAATAAATGTGGCTATGCAAAAATGCTCCTGTCTTGTACACTGGTTGTGAATGGCATCTACCTGCATGAATGCTCAAAGTACAGACTTCTCTCATCTCTTACACACGCCACTCCCATTCCTCCTGCTTCAGACAACATGCAGTTTTTGAAGAGTTACGACTGAATAGAGTTGTCATGTGCTCGACAGCAGCACTGCACCATAACATCCTAAAATGCAGTGACAATGAGGCTCATCTGACACTAGACAACCTGCAAAAGACGCAGCTCGAGTTACATACGGACATTTACCCGTTTGTCATTATAAAAGTGATCAAACCGTGACACTTACTTGCCAATGACCTCGCACAGCTCGTAAACATCTTCAAAGAGCACGTCGTCGTCGGCCATGGTCCAACAAGACCGGGGAATTTACACTCCCCCCAAAAATCCGTCCAAACGGTAAATATCAGAGGATTAACCGTTACAGCGTAGATACTTCAGAGTACCTGGAATGTGCGGCGAAAAGAAACGCTGACAGCCGACGTTATCGCTCTCCAAATTCCGATAAACAAAAAAATGATTGATTCCTTTCGGTTTTAAGGGGAAAAAAATATCCGTTGATGGTTCGGTTGAAGCGGGCGGACAGAAGTGAGCGCTCGGTCCGTTTGACTCACTCTGCCCCACCTTCCCTTCCCTCTCTCCCGGCCCCCTTAATCCCGCCACTCGAGGCTGAGGTAATTCAAACGTTAAAAACAACTCCAAAATGATCGCTGTTGAAGTCAAGGACACAAGTGGGTTAAATCTTCTAAACGCTAAACTAACTCGATTCTGTCGAGCCCAAAAAAAGAACTACACACCGTTTCTGTGATTAAAAAAAACGTAGGCTGTTATTAAAGTGCGCAGTTCAGTTGATTCTACTCATTCTTCCCACGCGCAGGGCTTCACTGAAACGCGCGAGGCTTTTCCCTTGCTCGCTCACGCTGGCTGCAGTTGCTCTAGTTCCCCCTCATAACTCCAGCGCTGCTGCTCCCAGCGTCCAGAAAACCCAAACTCCTCCCACTCAAGGTTATGAAACTGGATTGCTTTACGCCATAATGGCTCCGACAGGACTTTTGTATTCCTGCATAACCCAGCACTACTGTTTGAGCCGAAATGACGACCAGGCTTTTTAGAGTTTGTCAGCCAAACTGGCAGTTTCTTAATACGGTGCTAAATGCGAAACGTTAATCAAATTAAACAGCTTTTTGAAACATTTTATTTACTAGTTTGGCTATACGTCAATATAGTAATGTACACTATATTAATGTAATAATAAAAGTATCTGAAAAATGATTAAAAGGGATGTTCTTTTTAACTCAATTTTTTTATTAAAATGCAAAATACTTTATTGCCATGATTGTTGTACGTTCAATATTACTAAAGCATTGCGTACATAATAAAAAGCACTCAAATGAATAATAATAATAATTATTATTATTATATATAAATTAGAAATCTCATTGCAACCATATAATCCAAATCTAATCCTTTATGTATTTATTTACTTACTTTCTTACTTACAATGTATACTAATGTGTCATTTTGTTATTTTTTAATAATTGCCGAATTAAATAAAAAATAAAATAATAAAATAAAATGAATGGTTGTAATACAGAGTTAAATATTACATAAATATACATTTTATTGGGATACCAAGGTGTATTTGTAGTCCAATATAAGAAAGCTGACTTAAGGTTTGCAATGAAGGACAATTGAAATGCATTACTCTGGGTTTTGTCTGCACTTTTTACATTAGTGCCTTTGAATTACTGCATTGATTTCTGTAGCTGATGATTGGTGGGATACACTTGAGCTAATTGGATTTTGTACACTGAATCCATTCATTCAGTCTAGAATTCATTCTCAATGTAAATGTATAGTCTGAGTCCTTAAAAACAGTTGAATCATAGCCTTATTGATGTTGGCATAAAGGCAGCTGACTCCGCTGCAGTGATTTTCAAAGATGAAACTACTAATTCACACACAGACATACACAGTCACACACAGTCACACACACACAAAATGACCACATGACTGCATGTATTTTTCTGTCTAAAATGCTAAAATGTATCAGCTTATACTGCCATCACTGATTTAGGCTAAATGTCAAACTGTTACTTTTTTAATGTGGACACTGAGTTTGAAATTATTATACATCAGTTTGACAACACTGAAAGGTAGCTGTTTTTCAAACAATGCATTTCAGGCACTATGAGTGTGATTGACAGAGGATATTTGGTATCCTCAGGTGCATTTGATATCCTTTCCCTGGCCAATGATAGCAGGTGAATGGCAGAAAGAGTGACATTGTGTGTGTTCCAGAGTCTGAGCTCCTGAGTGACTTTGCACCACAGTGCAATCAATCACTGTTCCCTTTCATGGGAACTTCGAACTGCATCCTCTAGGGGTCACTATGGGGAACGCCTAGTCGTAACCCTGTCTGAAGCATACATTGAAAAAACACCAACATCACCTTGGCCGGTGACAGCTATGACGTCACTACCGGTTGGTGTATAGTATAAATAGGCGCCGGGAGAACACATCATCCTCTTCTTCGTCTTCATTGACTGTTTTGTTTGAAGTGTGCATTTCTGTGGTAAGAGCGATCTCTATTCATATCATTATGGCGAGCACTAGCAAAGCATTTAGAGGATGTGTGCATCCGTGTTGTCATTGTTTAACATCTGATGACACACACGATCTATGCGTTATTTGTTTGGGCGAAGAGCATGCACTCGATGTCTCCGAGGGGGCAATCTGCGTGAACCGATGAAAAAGCTCTGCTCTCGTTTGTCTGCTTCCCGCGATTCAGGACCCGCCACTGCTGAGGCACGGAGGAGAATGAGCTTGTGGGGATCGCAGGTGGATCTGGCCGATGAGTTTGAAGAGGGGTTCCGTGAAGCGGGCGAAGAAAGTGACGTCACGAGGTCATCTCGATGAACGTTATTTTTCTGGCCATAACCCTCCAGCTCAGGTGAGCCTTCTTATCTTCCTGTTTTCCATACAGAGATTGAGAAGGAATGGAGAAGGCAATTTTTCCTCACGCATCCATCGATTCCAGCATACGAGTTATGCCAACATCGAGGCGATGCGCGAAAGCGGTTATGAGAAGATGCCGCTATAGAGAGACGATGGCCAGCTATCTCTCTTTGGGTGAGACGTCCTCTCTTAAGACTCCCTCCTTGACATCTTGCTCAGATGCCAGGGCATACGCAGCAGCAGTAGGTCGGGCTGTCGCTTCATTGCACACGATGGTGATGCTCCAAGCATATCAGGCTGACCTGCTGAAAGACCTGGATAAAGGCGAGGGCCTTTCTCCTGATGAGGTAGCTGAGTGCGCCGCACCACGGATCTCGCTCTCCATGTTACTAAGCAGGCCGCCTCTGCTAGCGGCAGGTCAATGGCGGCTATGGTGACGGAGGGACATCTGTGGGTGAACCTAGCAGATATCGGGAAAAAAGAGAGGGGCTTTCTTCTCGATGCACCGGTTTCGCCTTCTGTATTTTTGGTACCTCCGTTGAGATGGTGGTCGAGAAGTTCAGGGAGGCAAAGGCGTGCTCAGCGGCCTTCACGAAGGTCCAGGTCTGAGCCCGAACAACCCAGGGGTCCTGGCCCGTCTCGGTTTGAGGATCAGAGACGGGCACAGAAGGCTAGTGTCACGGCTTGCGCTCCTCCCCGACCCACGGGTAAGGGTATGAAGAATCGCGGGTCAAAGGAAGGTAGGTAAAAAACCTAAGGGATGTGATCCAGACAGGGCATCAGCGCTTTTGTTTGGATCAGAGTGATACCTCAGTATCTACTCATTTCCTTTGATATTGACAAAAAATAATATTTCAATATTTTCTGTGATTTTATCAATAATTAGACGATATTTTGCTGAGTGTGTTATTGTGCTGATATTTTAAGGACTACCGAGGACAGCTGACTCCTAACGTTTTTGATATTCTTCATATTCTGTGTGCGGGTCAGTTTACAGCAGTGATAGAAATGTATCTTTTCCAATAAGTTTATATTGATTTTTTTTACTTTTATGGGCGTTTTTACCTTTTATAAAGCCATTTTTTTCTAAATGTGTACATCATCTTTTGAGTCAAATTCTTACATTTAATCAGTCAATTATAATAATAATAATATATTTAGGCTGTTACTAAACAAATGAAATCAGTATCAATAAAATTAATCTTTGCAGAAATTGCATATGAAGTGGCATTTAGATGCATTTACACATGTTAATGCAGCTTAGAGGGACATGGAATGCTTTAGCCTGCAGTTACAAACGCATAAATAATGTTTTGATATTTAAAACATGAAATGTTGAATAGTGATATTTGAAATTATTTAAAAAATGAAAAGATACTTTAAATGTGAAATTAAAACCGCCAGTAGGTGGCAGCAAGTCACTGTTAAGTGAGTTATTGCGATTGAACCGAATCATTTACACAGTTGATTCATTCAGAAACAAAACAAAGTCATGTTGCTCAGAGACGCAAACCAGTACTGTGGCTGTGTTTGGAATGTTTTTTTTGTTGGCGAAATAGCACAGAAATAGTGCAAAAACAGCCAATATGGTGTCTAAAACATAAGTCTCTTGATATTAACTTATTGTTTATTGAACTGTTGTATAAAATAAATATCACATTTGTAACTATGCTGATTTTTTAAAGAAAAAATTGCACTCTTCGTGTGATATTGATTAACTATATGAATTTATATAAATTTTCTGCCTCCTTATCTTGAATTATGTGATCATTCTTAATGCATATTAATAGACTGAATCATGCAGTGAAAGAGCGCACTATAAATGCGCACGCGCACTAAATCCTGTGTTGGTCTAACCAGACTTCATCACGTTGCGTATGCACGCCTCTGTAGGTGTGTTTTGTTTAGCTTTTGCAATATACTCGATAATGTCATGATGTCTCACGAGTTCAGTATTTGTGCTAAACCTGCACAGATTTGGCTTGCATGAACTTCCCCAAGAAATTAATGAGTGAACATAATTTACGAAAAGTAACCCGCCAAATTGGCTAGTGATTTGACAGCGTTACCCGCCACAGCTAATTTTTACCCGCAGTTGGCGGGTGTTAATTTCAAACCCTGTGTATATATATATGTATATGTGTGTGTATTTAATGCGCTGGTGGTTGTGTGTATAATCCTTCTGCTAGTTTTCTTTGCAGTGTTTCCCCGGGACCTGTGTGTTTCTGTCCTTTTCTAGGGTAGGTCCTCGGTGAGCACCCCCTCTGTTGGATTCAGAAACCGGGTGCTCGACTTGCAGTGTTTATTTCACTCGTCGATATATGTCCAGACGGTACGATAAGCCGGGTTTCGGTTTCATACTTCCTGGATTATGCGGCCAGGTCACAGGCTTCTGCGGAAGCCTTCTTGATCATTAGGCCCCTGCAAAAAGTTCCTGGACGTCCGGGCGGGGCTTATGCTTTCAGGCTGCCCTGTCTGGTCTACCTTATCTAGGTCGCCCTGAGGGGCCTCCCGATCACCAGGATATCCCCTCTTGCTGAGGCATCAAGCGGGAAGTATAGGTGGCATTTGCGAGAGCCTTCTTGTGTAATGCGGTCTCAGGCAGTGCTCCCCTCAGGGCTCCACTCAACTAGTGTGTCTCTGTCGACACACTCTGGAAGCATCGCTCCCCTCACCATTGAGGGTAATTGTGAGCATGGTGCTTTCTTTCGAGCGTTTAATTCTCTCTGAGGAGTTGGGTTCCTCGCTCCATGGGCTGTTCTCGTGGTAGTGCTGAGCAGTGCTCCCCTTTTATCAAAGGGTTACCTTAAAAGTTATGAGCACGCTACTCCTTCTGTATTCTGAGTTTTTTGGCTAGCTTGCAGTACACTTAACCTTCTGATTCTAACAATCACGCTGTAGGTCGAGCCCCCCCTCTCGCTGAGAGCTGGGTTTGTGCTCCCTCAGCTAAGGTAAATTACTGCTAGCCGTTCCAGCATTGGAACATGCTGTAGGTCGAGCTC